TATTCACCAAGGTGAAGGACAATGCTGATTGTTGAGGTCAGGGATAGGTGTGTGAATACTCTAGAGAATGTCAATATATTGAAGGAGGAGATTTTGGGATTTATCCCAGGTTACTGTGAGAGGCAAGGGAAGAAATAGCTGGGGCATATCTTCACATTCTCCTTGACCATAAGCAAGGTTCCAGAGGGCTGGAGATTAGCCAATGTTGTTCCCTTGTTTAAGAAGGGAAGCAAGGATAATCCAGGAAATTATAGGCCGGTGAGCTGACGTCTGTGGTAGGGAAGCTCTTGGAGAAGATACTGAGGGACAAGGTATATGCACATTTGGAATAGAATGGACTGGTTAGTGATTATATAGTATGCCTTCCTAAGCACTTTATCCACCTGTCCTGATACCTTAAGCGACTGGAGTATATGCACACCAGCATCCCTCTGATCCTTGGTGCTTCCAGTCTCTTACTATTCATCATGTATTCACTTGCATTGTATGTCCTGCACAAGTGCATCACCTCACATTTATCTGAATTGAATTCCATTTGTCACTGATCAGCTCTCTGACCAGCCGATTTAAGTCTACCTCCTCTTTACTCAACACCCACTATTTTTTTTTATCATCTGCAAACTTACTTACCAACCCTCGAACATTCAAGTCTAAAGTTGTACTTGAGTATTTTAATTAATATTATTGACCAGGTGAGTTGAACTTTAAGGTATCCTGGGCTTCTGTGGTGTTTAGGAACATGTGTATAGGAGCATGTAAAAATACGATTTGAAGCAGGAATAGGCCACTGAGCTCCTCAAGCCTGCTCCACCATTCAGTAAGATCATGGCTGACCGGACTGTAACCTCAACTCCACATTCCTGTTTACCCTGATAACTTTCAATACCTTGTTTATCAAAGATCCAAAGTTTCTGCTTCCATTGACCTTTGACGAAGAGAGTTCCAAAGGCTCATGACCCTTCTATGAGAAAGAAATTTCACTTCATTTGTCTTAAATAGCCACACCATTTGATTTTAAACAGTGACCCCAGCTTCAGAAAGGAAACATCCTCTCCATATTCACCATGTCAACACTCATCAGGGTCTTGTGTTTCAATCAAGTTGCCTTTCTCTTCTGAACTCCAGTGAATGCAAGCCTAGCCTGTCCAACCATTCCTCACAAGACAACGTGCGGCACAATGGTGAGTACCATTGCCTCACAGTGTCAGGGATCTAGGTTCAGTTCCAGCCTTGGATAACTGTTTGTGTAGAGTTTGAACGTTCTCCCCATGTCTGTGTGAGTTTCCTCTGGGTGCTCTGGTTCCCTCCCACAGTCCAAGAATGTGCAATTTAGGTTGATTGATCCATGCTAGAAACTACCATGCAATGTGCAGGTTAGGTTGGATAGCCAAGGTAAAAACACCATATGGGGTTATGAGGATGGGCGGATGTTCTTTGAAGGATCGATGCAGATGTGATGGTCCAAACGGCCTCTTTCTGCACTGTAGAGATACAATAAACTACAAATGTTACCAAAAATGACACACCCATTCCAGTCATTAGTCTGGTAAACCTTCACTACTGACTTTTCTCCCTATACATATAGCTTGTGTTCGGTATGAAAATTAAACAAAGGTTCTTGCTCTACTAAATTCTCATAGGTTCCAACTATTACCTTCATTTTGGCAGTGTTTGAAAAGTGATGCCAATGTTTTCCATGAAAAATTGCATCAATTCCATATTGACTTGTCATGAAGTAGCAGGTAGTGTGAGCAGTTTACATATATAATCTTCAAAATCTTTCTTTCTGGGGAAATACATTGCACTGATCATGTAAATCATAAACCCGTAAAAGGGATAGCATGTAAAATGTATCAAATGAAAATCTTTACAACAGAGGTCGACGTAAAATATACTATAAAGAGTGATGACAAAGATAAACAAGGAAGTGTTACATAAATCTGTAGGTAGCTGTAGAGTCAGGAGGAGGAGAAATGGCAAACCTCTTAAAGAACATTATCTAGCACCACTGAATCATCTTGGAACTTAGAATAGTTAGGCTGACCGTTAGAATAGTTGACCAGCATAAACTCAATGAATCAAAGAGCATTTTTCTGTGCTGTGGGTCTCTACGACTCTATAATAACTGCCCAGAGGTGGTAGTTATTTTTTCTTGTAGTGTTTCAGAACAGTGTTAAAGTTTCTGTCGACAAGAAGAGGGACCTTAATGAGACTGAGATTACCGAGGAATCCTGCTAATCACCTTAATTATGACAATGGTCTTCACGAAGCCATGGCACACATTTTGGATGCCATTGGGGTGGATAGAATAATCAGAAAAGAGCTAACTGAGTCCTCTGTGTTGGTGCTGGATAACTTTGGGAAGTTGCAATAAGAGGATTCAATAAGTATAAATTGCTTTTCTATGACTAGGATGTCAGAAGACAGGCAAACATTAAATTGTAGTCTCCATGATGCATTGTCAAACAAAATTTTATTTGTCTTATTCTGTATATGCCATCTGTGATAATTTTTGTCTCGTTATGTGGGAGTGAGAAAGAAGGAGAACCAGATGTAATAGCAGGGGAGGAGATGGCAGCAAGCTTCAAATTGGGGAAGTTCCTCTTTGCCTTTCTCTCATCTATTTATCCTGTTGCCTCACAGAATAATAAGGGTAGGCTCATGCAAGAAAATGAAAGTCTTCTGATTTGTAAACCATTACTTGATTGAAATTTATTGCCCAGCTTTGTTATCCACTCATGTAAGCAAACAAAAAGTAGACTTAAGATGTAAAATGAAGTCATTTCTGTACAATGGAAGAAGACTAGATTTTCATAGAGTTGTGTAGGCTCTGGGGAACCTTCAAAATTAGTGGTTGGGACTGAAATTGACCACTCCCACTTCTGACAGATTCTATTTTCTCCAAAACAGAGGCAGACCATGACTCCCAATATGTAGAGATCCCAAAGTCAGCACAGCCATTTGATTCATTGCTGAGTTCTACAGACTCCATTTTCACTGGGGCATGGTCCTTATTTCACAGGCTGAGAGTTACAAATCTTTGTAGGAGTCATAAAAGACCTTGAAGACTACATAACGTCTGTAAAAATGTCAAGTTATTTCAATGGATCCCTTTAAATATGAAAACAAAACTGCCAGTGTCTGTAAGATTTAAAAAAAAAAATCTCCTGGCAATTTCATTTATTGTTTGTTGGCATAACCACAAGTAATAGCATAAAAGCATTATTAATGTTTGGCTGCTTTTCACAACCTATCATTATCACAGTGGAGGTATTAAAATGTGTACTGTGTGGTTGATGAATAATTCCACAAACACTAGTACCCCAACACCAAGTCACCTTTATTCACACATGCATAGTATATAACACCAACCCAACTAGCCCAGAGCTGCCTCCTCCAATGAGCAGAGCCCCTAACACACCTGTTTATATCTGTCAGCCAGGATTCCCTGATTTGGGCTGTTAACCTGGTCCAATCACAGAACTCATATTCTATGAGATTCACCTGGCTGACCACATTGCAACCACAGCTGAAAGGTTTATTGAAGGATTAGCTGTTTTTGATTTGCAGATATGGGTACAATCTGTTTGTTTTTAGAAGTGATTAAGTACTTAAGAAGATTTAAATGTATTGAAAGGGCTTTCATGAAAAGGACTTATTGAAAATAGTGAATTTTGTAATATGTATTTGGAACATTATTTTGTTCCATCTCTACCTCAGATTGATATTCAGTGAATTACCACAGAATATGCAAGCAAAAAGGGCCATTGCTGGGAGTAGGATGAAGCTTGGGTTGGCATTAGGTTGATATATAGTTAGGATAAGGGCTCTAAGGATCTGTGAGGATGGGTAGGTAGTAATGAGTTCGCACTAAATTGGCATAGAAGCTAGAAATGTCAATAGGAAGTAGGGGACTAGGTTTGGTATGTGTTAGGTAGTGGCATAAATGGGTATTATGAGTGAGTGTAAAATCTAATGCTTAACAAGACACCTGGGATGAAGTTGCACGGAACTGAAGTGAGTTTGTCTCACGGCTTGGCAGCCTGTGTGGCTGACTCTGATCTACTTCTGGGATGTTGGACCTAGCACTGTCACCAAAAGTAAAAATGACATCTTTTGAGAATTTTCTTCTGTGGCAGGAAATTGAGCTGCGAAATTTCTTGACTTGAGCTGTCTGCCTGCCTAGGGAGCAGATATTTGGCCCAAAATGTACCAAATCTTTAGTTCAATCCACAGGATTAGATCAATCCTCAATTTTTTAACTTCAAAGGAATCCAAACAAAGTTGATGAAGCCTGTAGTCATAATTTGACCCTTTAATCCCTGGTGTCATGACATGATAGTCCCTTGTCATCGAAAGAAGCTTCAAGAAATGTTTCAGAAACATTGTTAGCTTTGCTTTATTACTAACCTTTATCACAGTCTTTTCTAAATCAACTGTTTCATCTTGGTGAATTCCTGTTATTCATAATAAGCATCAAGCTTGTTTCTAAGGTTAGAAAACTATTTCTTATTCCAGACAACTCTGGTGGACGACAAATGCAAAGAAAAAGGAAGCAGTGGTTTCTTTTGCAGCTCAATGCTTTCCGTGTCATTTGTCTACATTTTTTCACAACTTGTTCAAACAGTAAACAACTTCCAAAATTATTTCCAGCAGAGTTGAATCTGTGGTGAGATTTCTTATGGGTTAAGATTTAGATTCATATTGTGTACCTTGAGAAAAGAAGAAATCCATTGTCTTTTGCATGATTTAAGGCTCATTATTGTTTTGCTCCCTGTATGTATTGCCTGCCATTATGTGAAGCCAAGTTATTGTTCAGTCTTGCAATGTAAAAAGCCCTGCATAAAATGGAATTCATTGATGTGAACTAGTTAGCCTTGTTAGAATTTAGCAGGGGCTTGATGTCAGCTGATTCTTCAGCCACACCTCTTATAGTCTTTCCTCACAGAAAACATGAGTTGATAGCAAGGAAATTTAATTGTCTTTTTTCAACTCAAAAGGTCATTCCAACCCTTGGATGTATCCGCGCACTAATGAAGATGATGTATTGTCCCTACTGCCATGGTCTCCCCACTGTGAAAGCCTGCAACAACTACTGTCTGAATGTAATGAAGGGCTGCCTGGCCAATCAGGCTGATTTGGACACAGAGTGGAATCTTTTTATTGGTGAGAACAAATAATACATCATTTCGAATAATTCAGAAAAATGAACACATTATCTGGTGATTCTTTATAAAAGAAGTACTGTGTTTACTATTACTGTTAGTGATCTTTTCTTGATCTCCAAGAATGCCAATGTGATGTACCAACTGTACTGAACTGAAAGTAAAAATGATCAGCATGCAGAACTGACTGACACCCAATCTAAATGCATCACTTTTCCTTCTGTGCAATACATGCAAACTGTTGTTCTAGTCAAACTGAAATTTACTGATAAATAATTTGCCTGCATTACTTGCAATATTGTGGAGAACACAGGAAGTATTTATGTATTAATGTCGCAATGACAGGCATCCTCAAGACTTCCTTCAAACAATGTTTGCAGACGATTTCCATGTAAACAACCAGCATTTTA